AAATTATATTATATATAGTGAAACTATGCTCTATATCTAAATCCAAAATAGATAACTAAAAATAAATTAATGCTAATTTAGATAAATTAGGTAAAATTTTAATTTTTCTTGCACTAAATAAAATATAACTATAGTTCTTTTACAGAGTCTGTAGTTTCATTAATTGTATAGCAGAGACATATGAATTTTGTGATTTGCTATAATTAAAGTAAATTACAGTAAATCACAGAAAATATCTGATTTGTTTCAATTAAAAATATAGTATTAGTAGCTATATCAATAATAATTAGTTATAGTTAAATTTAATAAAATTATTGTTGTATTTTGTTTAGTAATATAAAAATATAATAAAATATTATATTTTAATAGCATTAGTTCAAAAAATTTTACATTTCTTGAAAAAAAAAAATTTAGTACAACATACTTTTTTAAAAATCACAAGGGTTTTGTTTTTTGCGAGATAAAATTTTTAATATTATGTTATTAAATCAGTACTTTAATTTTAATTTTTAGTTAATTACAGTAAATCACATAATTTATTATTAAATATCAAAAACAAAATTAATTAAATTATATTACAGATTTTATATATTACTATTGTACAGGTTTGTTAGAATTAAACATATGTATGCTATCTGATATTAAATAATTATCAAACTTTTTTTCATGATTTACTATAGCTTAACATATTTTATTAAAAAGTTTTTTACTACTAATATAAAATCTGATTTATACTTGAGATTATTTTGTAAACATTCTGTAGTAGTTACTATAATTAACAGAATTTAATAAAAAATAATTTCAAAGTAATTTTTTTGTGAAAAAAAATTTGCTGATTTGATTTTTTACTATAAAAATTGACTAATCAGCAGACATCAATTATGATTATACGATTTCTAGTCAAATTATACTTGGCATCCATTATGCTAAAAATTAGCTTATTATACACATTATATCACATTATATAAAACTGAGATCCCTAGTTAATCTCCTAAAAAATTTTTTACGATAGAGTGAATTTTTTAAAATTTGTATTTTCTTGTCTTTTCTCTTCTCTATACTTCTTTTTTTCTTCAACTTTCTTGTTGTTATATGTAATTTTCTTGTCTGCAAATCTTTATTTTATGAGACTTTTTAGATTTTTTTATAAGATTTTTACTTTTCTATATGTTTTTTTTTGCTTTTAAATTAGTGTAAGAGATTAGCAAGAAGAGTTGTAATTGTTTTTTAAAATATTTTATTTATTAAAAATTTTACAATTATAAAAAATATATTTTATTCTATATTATTTAAAAATTTTATAAAAATTAATTGCAATAGTAAAAAGTTTTATTAGTAGTATAAGTTTATTTTTTGTCAAAATTATACTGTACTATAAAGATTATATGAAAAATGATTTACATATTCTCTACTTTTAATAGCAGAGATTACTTATATTATAACTCTGTATTCAAATTAATAAAATACTGCTAACAAAGTAAACTTTCTTTAATATTAAAAAAAAAACTTCTATTTAATATCTCTTTTAAGACTATTTTCTTATCTTATAATCTTAATAAATACAACAAATCTAAGAATAAAAAATCAAGATTTGATAATAATATATTTGTTAACATTTCTGAATCTTATTATAATTTTGAGTTTAATATCAATCTTAGAACAATTAATATGTTTAATTATAGCAAAAATTCTAGATCTAACAATAGTAATATTAGTAACAATAGCAATAATAACAACAATAATAATAGTAATAATAGTAACAATAGCAATAGTATTAATAATAGTAACAACAATAATAATAGTAATAATAGCAATAATAGTAACAATAGCAACAATAGTAACAATGGTAATAACAGTAATAATAGTAATAATGGTAATAATAATAATAATAGCAATAATAATAACAATAATAATAATAGCAATAATAATAATAA